TGTGTAGATCATAATTTCTTAACTTGTTGCTGACAATTGTCTTCAGTGGTTCAGTAACAGGTCCTAATACAGGTAGAGGTTCTCGGACTAATACTTGTTTGAACATGATCAGCAGGTTCGCGTTGTCGCGTATCAGATGTTTCGGTATCTTCGCATGTGTCTGACAAAGAAAGAAACAGTCAACGTCCGAGTGCCTACCCATTGCAAAGTGTTCTCTTACCGCGTTTTGCTTATCCCATGCTACGTCGTCAAAGATAAAAATCGAATTCGGAAGTGCCTCGCTCGGTGGAACGACGTCGCTGTTATTCGAAAATGTAAAATAACCAATTTCATCTATGGACAAGAATATATTTTCTAGATATCGATATTTTGGTTGTTGCAATGATTTCGAGTACACGTATACGTTTTCGAAGCGAACACCGTGCGGACTTTCTAACAAACTAATCAGCACGTTCGTTTTGCCGCAATTCGGTGGGCCGCAGATGATACCACGTATAGAGGTCGGTAGCATATTTCCGTGTTTGCGTATCTCTTCCTCAGACTGTACCTTTTTGTCTACATTAGTCACTTTAATCGCAGATGATTGGCGCACGAACCGCATCGTAGCTGCGGTAAAAAAATGAAAGAAAAGGTATGTGTCGATATTGGGGGGGTATTTATACCAGCGTGACCCAGATGCATCAGTCAGTGTAGAGATGGCTTTCATACTGATCGATGGTGATACACTGTTCGACTTGACTGTGGAGCAAAGATAGTACTCTTGAATCGGTTCGCTAGCGACATTCATTACGCGTGGGATAAACTGCCGAAACATGTAAGAGCTGATCCTGAAGTCCAGTCTTATCATAGGTGTCTCTTGCATTACAATCGTCCAGATCAAAGTACGCACATAGGCAGACCAACGCCTATGAAAAAAAGACTGTTTTCTATGCATAAAAGGAGGGGAGCAGAGTAGTAAAGGTAAGCGGGTTCTAACCCAGGGGGCTCCGAAGGGGGAGCGGAGGAGGGGGAACCGAGGGCGAGGGGGCGAGTGGGAGGGGGCATGTAACGAAATAAGCGCGTAAGGGTGGGGGAAACCGTCCTTTTCGCGCAGGATTGGAGGTGTTTTTTCGGGCCCCGCGGGTTCCCTCTCCCTCTCTCGCGCCCAAGCATTTTCTTCCTCGCACTCATACTCTTTTACCCGTGCAACACGTAAGATTAGAAAAGATGAGGTAATTATCATAGGTAATTATCAGAGATCGGTAAAAAAGAAGGAGAAGAACATCAATTGTTCGACGTTTGGTAAGTTATTTGCGCGATACAATTGCTCGAAAACTAGATATTAAAGAAACGGTAGAGGTGACATTCTTTTGATGATGAGAATACTGGAGAACGTGCGAAGGAAACATTACACCGGATGAGAATATGATATGGGAGGAAATGCGCTAGAAAGAAAGAAAGACAAATATATCCAAGCTATTTCTTTTTTATATCTCCTAAGCACGCAGTTTTGTGTATAAGTTTATATGCGTATAAAAAGCTTTCAAGTTATTAATTATTTTTATAGTAATATAAAAGCGAAAGATTTTGGCTCTTCGAGTTGTCTAAACTTATTAGGTATACCTTCCTATTTATATTATATTTATATTTAAAAAGTAAAATATATGCAATCATATATACTTAAATTTACGAAAATACATTTCATCATTGATAATAAACTATATGTTCGTTCGATATCGTCCCGCGACTTTTCTCGGGATTAGCGTACGAACGGGAGAAGAAAATAAGCTGCCCGAATCGTGTTTTACCGAAGCAGTTTTTATTGTCTCCGTGGTGAAACTACACAATAGTTGTAATACAATAAAATTACCCTTAGTTTAAGAACTTTAGGCGTTTTAATTTTGTTCCCGTAGGAATGCTCACATGTCCGTAACACATATTTAGAAATAAGATTTCTAAATCTCAGAGACTCGTGTGGAGAAGACTTGTTGACTCGATAAGATCGATCGCCAAAAATCACAGTAACGAATGATTTGAATTCGACTTGCGCTGTGTATATATTATCGTTCTCGGTGTCGCCCGCCGCCTCTCCGACCGCTCTCGCCTGCTTGTACGACCAGCGGAGCGAACGAGAGCAAGAGAGCGCCGGGACGAGCACGGACCGCATAGTATACACGTTTAAATTTAACCGTGATATACATACGAGTTCGAAGCCAAGGTTCGCGTTCGAACACTATATAATAAGTATATAATAACTATATAATAATTTACATTAACGTGCATTAAATTTACATGCACGCGGTATACATATTTTAAAAAAATATAAAGTAAAAAATGAAATAAACTATAAAAATAAATTAAATAAAAAAAATGAAAAAGAATTATAAAAACTATAAATGGACCACTTTGCATTAAGACGGGGACAAACTCGTTGATATACTATAAAATAAAAATACAAATAAAAATAAAATAAAAAAACTATACGATATGAACGGGTTGGCCCCGTCTTAATGTAAAGTGCTCCATCGGCATAAATGTAAAATGTTGCGCGGTGCACATCGTGCATCGCATCCGCAGGCGCGCACGAATATAATGGACGTCGGCATCTTGCGCAATTCCTGAAATTGATGTAGCGCAGTCTCGGTATGATTAGGTGCTCCTCTGATGGCAGGTGGTGCACCCTCTCCTCCGGCGGGAGTTCCAACCAACATTCGATGCATATCGAGCAGCGAGCAACAAAAACTGTTAAGTACGCATCGTCGGGGGAGGCTGATAAAATCCTCCGCGATTATTATGATAAAGATTTGATACTGGATCTAAGAACGGATTTTCCCGTGAGAAACAAAAACTGTTGAGTATGCATCAGCATTTGTCAGAGAGAGCTACAAACATTACACCGGATGAGAATATGATATAGGAGAAAATGCGCTAGAAAGAAAGACACATATATCCAAGCTATTTTTTATTGATAAAAAAAAATACATACATTTTTTATTTCTGGTATTTCAACCACCAGTTGTATAATTTAAATACATTTTGTAAAGCGCAATTCGTTACATGGTTTATGCATCGCATGGTATTAGTAACATCAAGATTTTTCAAACACGTGATATCTTTGTAATCAGCGTTCATGGTCTCAATAGTTATATTCACATTTCTATGAAGTAGATTTTTCAACCAGTCACGTTTTTGGCTTCCCTTGACATATGCGATAGGCCATGCATCGTCGTCGTCGACTATTGCCGTTGTAATCAATTGTTTCGCCATACTGTATGCTATACAGTACGGGCTTTTGAAAATGTAATGGGTGAGAACGGTTCCTTTTCTCAACACCGCCATTTCCTTTACGATAAACCTGGTTCTGTCGGTGAACCCTTGTATGTCAACAAACGTTGGTACCATCGTGACGATATCTTTGAAACTACACCACAAAGCGAAGTGTCCATCTCTTACATATTACAAATATTGCTGATGCTGCAGTTTATGTGATTTTACGCACAACGTTGAACAATGGACAGTATTCGATAACGCGATCATGCAAAATAAGACAGTACGGGGTAGTATTTGCTGGCACGTTTTCTTTGCAATCAAATTCTATTCGCACATCTAAGGTGGCGCTCTTGATTGATCCAAACGGCAGGTAGTCTTGATGACTACAAACGGCCCATACAACAAAAAGTTGTCCGTGTCGCAAAACGTTTCGTAACAGTCGTATCCGTAATAAGCTTTACGAAAACGTGCATACATATCAAAAAGAATAGCATATCTGTTTCTATCAAAATCAAGATTCAAGTCATTGTATGGATAAAAGTCAGAGTTTAGATAAAGTCTCACGTTGGTCAATTTACATGCATCGAAGTTGCTCGCATCTTCAGATATGATATTCTTTCGACCAGTTTGCAGTACAAAAATGATGTATCGCGGTTTCTCCAGCTGAGTCGCAGTTTTAACGGTCCACGAATGTTTTGTCGTACTTTGCAACAAAGGATACTCGTACAGGACCCACGAACGAAAACTCATGCTTAGGTATTGCCCGCTTTCCAAAATTCGCAACAACGATAGTTTATTCGTATCATTCGTATCATTTACCCTTCCGATAAAAAGCAGGATTATAATCGCACCCAGTGAGGGCGTGGTAAGCCGGTAGAGCTAAACATAATTTTTCTCCCAACGTTTTATAAAGTTCATTAATATTTATAAATCGTTGATTATTTCCCACTCCGACGTG